GTGGCGTCGTTGTTTACAATTACTGAGATTTGGCAGAGAGACTGGTGCCACCCGATAAGCAATTTCCCCTTGAGTATGATAATTATAACCAGTTTTATCGTGTTCGCCGTCCTCGAAAACATAGGGTTACATGATTTTCGCTTCGATATTCATTAACAAAAAATCCTTCTATTTTCAAATCTCTGGCCCAGCTGCCTACTGGGTTTCAGAAGGTGATACCTGATCAATATGCAGCAATAATTGCGCAGCTCCTATAATTGGATCCAATTACACACGATACACTATATTATTCCATATAAGGCCGGATCCATTATATTAGCTCAAGTTCGGAGAGCAAGATCTGATGACGTCATAGCCACGTGACCTCAGGTTCATAATCACGTGACCTTATACCCAATCAAAATTGGGTTCTGGCCTGGTCAGCCCCCTGCCACCCGATCTTGAGGTGATCAATGTCTGGAAGGCTGCAAATTTTCACGTCATGCCAAACTCACAAGATTCTTAAAGAGTTGTGCGAGATGACGATACATAGAGGCCGCAGAATTATGACGACTACCAGATCCTGGTGGAACCTAAGGCTAAGCGATCCATGATATCACGACAGGCCCTTAGTCAAATGCTATTTCATTGCTGCACGCTCTGTTTGCTCATGGATTTTATGATTATTTATTACAATGATATCCTAATAACTTGTTATTTAATTAAATACTTGTTATTTAATTAAGGCAGAATGAGGCGACCTCAGGGTTTGACTCGTAATGTTTGGTAACTTAATCCCATGTTTCCTAGATCAGTCGTGCAGAATGCAAACTGTCAATTATCTGTGCGTGGAAATTCCAACTCGACTCAACAGTCAACATATTATATTAGAGTTACATTACACCACGTGTTTACTTTTAATATATCGTTTTAAGGAATGTATGGGCATCTTATTATATTACGTTATGATATTAGTAGGTTTTAATTATAGCACAGATGGGTACAATAGATGAGTATTGAGTATTGAGTATTGAGTATTGAGTATTGAGTATTGAGTATTGAGTATTGAGTATTGAGTATTGAGTATTGAGTATTGAGTATTGAGTATTGAGTAATGAGTATTGAGTATTGAGTATTGAGTATGGAGTATTGAGTATTGAGTATTGCACTGGGAGACTTTGGGACCGGAAACTGGGTATGTTGTTGGGTATGTCGTGTTCCTTCTACACGACATACCCAACAAAGATTGAGTACTTGTTCGCTGTTGCGAAATACTTTGGTAATAATATTGAGTAATTTGTTGTATTCTGAAGTATTATATTATTAACCGATTTAACATTTTATAACCAGCCAATACATTGTCTCAATTTGTAGCTTCTATGTACAGAGTTGTCATATGAACTCTACCCAAGATCTAACACATTTCTAGGTCAATTATATTCAATCCATGGATCACATCACTAATTATACGCCACAAGCTTCAAGCTTGCATGTTAATTACTTGATGACGTATATGGTGGATCATATCACTCCGGCCCCAAAGTCTGGCAGCCGAGTATTGAGTATTGAGTATATAATGTGGAAAGATAATTAGTTGTCTCATTCTCTGCGATATCACAAATGTTGTTAATTAATAAATTAATTTAAGTCTGAACAGTGCGGTAAAGTTGTTGTTACTAAAGTGTAATTGATTAAGGGGGCAGGGGGGGGGGGGTCTTTATGAAATTTCTCTCGAAATTGATTTTATAGTTGTTTCTGATAGAGGGGAGTGATATCTATCTGCTGCTTTTGGTCCTATAGAAAAATTTTGTTCCCAGCCGAATTTATTGCCGGTCAAAGGTCAGCGCTCATGTGTAATTGTATTGCGCGAGCGATTTTCAATCGCGCGCCCTGAAAATCGAGTCTAAAAATCTATTTTCTCCTACATTTTTTGAGCAATCACCTTGAAACTTTCAGGATATGTTCTAAGGACCATTTAGAAACTTCTGGTCGATCAGAATTTTTGGATAGGCCTTTTAAAATTTTTTATTCAATTTTGAAAATCCCGGACCTGGAAAAATCGTCAAAAAACGAGGTCCAAGATTTTCAAAATCGAATAAAAAATTTTAAAAGGCCTATCTCAAAATTCTGATCGACCAGAAGTTTCTAAATGGTCCTTAGAACATATCCTGAAAGTTTCAAGGTGATTGCTCAAAAAATGTAGGAGAAGATAGATTTTTAGACTCGATTTTCAGGGCGCGCGATTGAAAATCGCTCGCGCAATACAATTACACATGAGCGCTGACCTTTGACCGGCAATAAATTCGGCTAGGAACAAAATTTTTCCATAGGACCAAAAGCAGCAGATAGATATCACTCCCCTCTATCAGAAACAACTATAAAATCAATTTCGAGAGAAATTTCATAAAGACCCCCCCCCCTGCCCCCTTAAGGGGACATACACCAAAACCTTTTTTGCCGGGACCCGGGATTTGACTTCATATTATGAAAGTAAAGATTACAACTGTAAGATTTGAGGCATTGAAAATTTTTTTTGAGAGTACGCACATTCGAAAAAAAAATTATTTTCTTTTTCGAAAGTTTTGGAAATTTTGAGAAGTCTGTCACTGTAATACCGATATTTCAGTCATTTTAAACGTTGTTTGGCTGATTTTTTAACTGAACATTATTTACAATCCGTACAAGAAGCCCTTCAAAGGATTTTATAATTAAAGAATAGATGACGAAGTTACAGACCAAACAAGGTCGAGAGGAGCAGAATTGAAATTTTTGTAAAAATCAAGTTGTATATTTTACCATTCACCCAGGTCATAAGATATCGCTTCAAAAATTCTTGTGAGTGTAGCTGATGATCATATTCAACATTTTGGAACAGGATTTCTCTCAATTTTGAGTTTTAAGGTATGAAATGTGGCCTCAAACGACTTAGTAAAATTCATCGTAAAAAAGGGCCAAACATGGCAGATTTAAGGCTTAAAATGCCTATAACTCAAAAAGCATCAATTTTTTTGAAATAATTTATACAGAATCGTAATCAGCTTGAGAAGACGAATCTTTTAGTACCAAATTTATAATAGTTTAAGACACAAAATTTGTAAAAAAATGTGTACAATTTGTAAAAAATTTATACAAGGGGGGACCCTTGTGTTCAAGCTAGAAAATTATTTAAGACAATTTGTCTTCTAAAATAACCTATTTGGTACTAAAAGATTCGTCTTCTCAAGCTGATTACGATTCTGTATAAATTATTTCAAAAAATTGATGCTTTTTGAGTTATAGGCATTTTAAGCCTTAAATCTGCCATGTTTGGCCCTTTTTTACGATGAATTTTACTAAGTCGTTTGAGGCCACATTTCATACCTTAAAACTCAAAATTGAGAGAAATCCTGTTCCAAAATGTTGGATATGATCATCAGCTACACTCACAAGAATTTGTGAAGCGATATCTTATGACCTGGGTGAATGGTAAAATATACAACTTTGATTTTTACAAAAATTTCAATTCTGCTTCTCTCGACCTTGTTTGGTCTGTAACTTCGTCATCTATTCTTTAATTATAAAATCCTTTGAAGGGCTTCTTGTACGGATTATAAATAATGTTCAGTTAAAAAATCAGCCAAACAACGTTTAAAATGACTGAAATATCGGTATTACAGTGACAGACTTCTCAAAATTTCCAAAACTTTCGAAAAAGAAAATAATTTTTTTTTCGAATGTGCGTACTCTCAAAAAATTTTTTCAATGCCTCAAATCTTACAGTTGTAATCTATACTTTCATAATATGAAGTCAAATCCCGGGTCCCGGCAAAAAAGGTTTTGGTGTATGTCCCCTTAAGGTCTGAACAATGTGATTAAGTTTTTATTATGAACGTTCCCGTATAATACATGGTACATAATACAAATTTTATGATACTTTAAAACGTAAGCTTCAAACACGATCTACAGCATTCTAATCAAGCCTCATATATATTTAATATCTACAATCTAATTTTCCTGTCTGTGAATCACTGTTTTTAAAAAATGAGGCAAACAATTGAACTTTTATAGTTAATGAGTGACACACTGCACACTGTAACATTGTCTTTGTTTTTATCTTTCAAAAAGTTGAGGAGAGCTCAAAAGTGGGTTGTTTGCAATGGCCACATTTGCATAATACTTTAACAAATAACTTATTAACTTTTGTGTTTAAATGGAGTTATTTAAGTTTTCTGGCGCCACCTCCCCACCCGCAATCAAATTCAAACTAAAAAGCTGCTTTTTATTAAAGGTAGTTTATATATTATATTATGCTAATATGCAGTATGTTGCAGTATTAGTATATAGTAGTACACTATGTACTTAGTATTAATGTTAAAGGATTAGTGCTATTATTAAAGATGACGTGTTTTGTGCTGCCACTTGTACATAGCATTAATGTTAAAGGATTAGTGCTATTATTTAAGATGACGTGTTTTGTGCTGCCACTTGTACTTAGTATTAATGTTAAAGGATTAGTGCTATTATTTAAGATGACGTGTTTTGTGCTGCCACTTGTACATAGTATTAATGTTAAAGGAATAGTGCTGTTATTTAAGATGACGTGTTTTGTGCTGCCACTTGTACATAGTATTAATGTTAAAGGAATAGTGCTATTATTTAAGATGACGTGTTTTGTGCTGCCACTTGTACATAGTATTAATGTTAAAGGATTAGTGCTATTATTTAAGATGACGTGTTTTGTGCTGCCACTTGTACTTAGTATTAATGTTAAAGGATTAGTGCTATTATTTAAGATGACGTGTTTTGTGCTGCCACTTGTACTTAGTATTAATGTTACAGGATTAGTGCTATTATTTAAGATGACGTGTTTTGTGCTGCCACTTCCAGAGTTTACAAACCAACATTTCCAACATTCCATTAATTATCTACAGTACCTTTCCACGTACAGTTAATAACAGTATTTTATGATAATATGTTGATATGATAATATGTTGATATGCTAATATGTTGATATGCTAATATGTTGATATATCATTTTTCAGTATCCAGAATGTGTACAGCAAGAAGTTGTTATCAGATGACATAACCACTGTTAGTGCTAATGAACTTCAGTTTTACACCAGTTTATCAGCCACATGTATACAGGTGACTTATTAATACACTATATCATGTACTCAATACTCATTTACAACTTTTATTTTAAACTATTTTTACATTTACAAGAACTTTGACTATTGAGTTTTGCACCATCTTCACTAAACGATATGAAATAGTACATGTTACTCTGAAAAACTGATATTGGATGCTGCATGAAAATTTCTTACAACGCGTTGATATATGTTACACTCTTGTTACGCGTATGTAACACATATGTAACACTGCATACCTATCAGATTCCCCTGTGGGCATTAACTGAGATATCTTTACCTCGGTGGGACGATGTTCCCTTACTCCTAGTGGACGGTATATCATTTCACCTGCAGAGTGTCACAGCTTACTGTCTTATGAACTTAATATCCCCCGTTACTCACAGGTTTGTGTTTTGTGTATGTTTTACTTTATACTTTTTGTGTAAGCCAGTCGATATTTTAAGGAATTGAAATATTACTCTTTCTTAGAACGAGCTCATTTTTCAGTTTGAGGGACTGAAATAGAATTCTTAACTCCGTCAGATATTTGATTATTTTGTTGACTTGATATGAATTCGATAGAATCGAAAAGATTGTCAATCGGCACAGAACACTTAATTGTCAGAAAAATTAAAGTATTACCAACTCAATCTGAATATCCAAACCCCTCAAGTTTCTAAAGTCAGCATATCTTATTAAATATAAACATTACAATATACAATAGGCTCCATTCGTGAAACCCTACGTGTACTACTTTTTGGACGCTTTGGTCAGCAGCTCAAATATCCTGAGCGCGGAAACCAAGCGTCTAAAAGACAACCTACGTAGCGCAAACACGGGAAACCTAAGCTAACTAGCTAGCTAGCTTAGCTTGCTTGCTTGCGCGCGGATTGCAATATTGATAATATTGCATGCAACAAAATATATTGCACGCTATATCTCTGTTGACACACGCTGCAACCCCTGCCGGAGGTAACCCCCTGCTTCGCGTGCAAGAGAGAGGTATACAACGTGTAGCAATATCTCTGCCGGTTTCTGACAAAAGTGCTTAAGTGCAATAAATTGTGTTTTTCCAGGCCAAAAGACCCATGATCACCAAATTGCCGTCACTTAGCCAGTTTTGGACCTAGAAAACAATGCCACCATTTTCAGTTCACGAAATGGCACCATTTTTGAGATTAACGGCATCCATTTTCCAAAATAATTGTGCAAGTTTGGATAAATTTCTATGTGCCAAATTTGAGATATCACTTCAAACACACGAAAATAGTGCTGTCGGACAGATGTCGTGTTACCGTAGCAGACCTCACACGACACTACGCATAACACTAATTGGAATAGTATACATAGTGGTGAAACAGTCCGAAAAATTTGATAAAATTCGTTGCTATATCTTTTCTAAACAGTATTCCTTTCAGTGTTGCTAATACAGTGAAAAGAGGACTGTTGATATGGCTTTCAGTCATGACGTTTGGTAACCAAGTTTCCATTCTAAGCTGGGTGGGTACTTCGCTCGTTATAGCCGGTGTATTTCTTTACAACGAAGCTAAGAAGAAGTCATCTCCTCCTGCCCACAGAACTGCTGTATTTGTACCAAATGATTCAAGTGTTGTTTAACTATGACGCCTAGTGGAGTTGCATTTTATATCTTCATTAGTTTTGAGGCTTTTATAATCTTCTTCATATCACAATCTTGCCATTCGTTGCTTGTAGATTATTATGTTAATATTATGTAATTTATGCTCCCTGATTTTCCCAAGCTTATCGTGATACGATGCTCTAGATTTTCATGTGATACTTATTATTTAATTTATTGATGATTTTTAGTCTTCTTATATGGTAGGGGTAATAAATTATGTTACTAATATCTCGAATAACTGTTTTATTGTTTCCATTTAACTGATGAACGCAAATGTCAAATTTTGGAATACACCAGGGTAATAAAAGATTCAGAATTTTAACTGTGTACAGTTTTAAATCGTGTATTAGGATAAAGCAATAATTTTAGGGTGTAACAATAATTATATCAATATTAAGGGTCGTTCACATATTACGTAATAAGCCGAGGGGAGAGGGGGTTTCCAATTATTTTTCCAAAAAGTTATTACTAAATATGTGAACGACCCTTAAGTGAGTTGTTTAATCATCTCGATGATAATGTTAATTTGATTTCTTTAAAGTATAATCGACTTGTCAAATTTTGGGGTTTATTGTTTCTCGTAAATAATGTTTCTTTCAAATTCCTGATTCTCTGCTCATATGGCCATGGGGTCGTTCACATATTACGTAAACCGCCGAAGGTCAGGCCATGATTACGTAATATTGCTGTCAGGAGGGGGGGGGGGGTTGGGTCTCGATTAGGGTTCATTACGGAGGGGGTAAAAATTGCTAAAATATTGATGACGTAATATGTGAACGACCCCTATCAAGGAATTGCCAAATCCGAGCGCCTCAACACACACAAAACCCACAAGTTTTCGAATTATAAATTTGTGTGTTATGACTATGAGGGTTATCACATATTATCATGATGCAACTAAATCGTAAAAAGGGGGCAACTATAAAGCTATTTGGGCATAATTATAAGCAGCCCAAGCCCCAATCACATGCTTCTATAAGTCCACCAAATTCTGCAACTGTAGAACGTTGTGATATGAAAAGTATTTAGCAAATAGTGCACCACAAACTTAATTTTACTGACATGAATATTGAACATGTAATTAGATCCGTCCGACCTAATTTCATGTTCATGACATAAAGCTATAACTCACAGAGAATATTTAGTTTAGGTTTACCTTTCATATAAAGTTAGTCTCATTCAAAAATATTGATATTTGACCAATTTATGGGCATCAAATTTGGTATACATGTCCAAATATGGGCATATGGGTTTTGGCTCATAACTCAGTCATTTTTTCCTTTTCACCCTTTTGAAAAAAGGCAATAGTGAAAGGTTACGAATGGAGGTTTTTGCAGAAAAACGTGGATTTTGGGGATTGCAGTAGGTGGGTCAAATATATGTCGTGTTCCTTGCTTCCGTCCGTTACCATGCAACGAAAAAGTTGGGCGCGCGCGAGGATTGCTTGCGGAGATGTGATGTATAGATAGCCTGTGATCTATGGATGCGCGGCGCGACTGTGTTTTAATGTATATGATGCATGTAAGGTATAATATTTCTATTAGGTAATACGCCCAATTTGTACGTGGCACGCGTAGTGTATTGATGTGTACACGAGTATAGTTTACCTTTGCTGATAATTTCTTGAATTACAGATACAAGTTAAGTTCTACGGCAATTGAACTGAATATCAAGTGTTTCCCGTATTTAATGCATAATTTATCAATATTATTATCATGAAGATTGAAGTGAGCTGATTTGAGCTTATACTTAAATTTATAGAAAATGTGAAATGGAAATCTAGCGTCCGCCAAAACGAAACAACGGGCGCAATTCTTGTTAGTCTTATCTGGATGAAAATTCATATACGAGTTCAGGAGACCACTAGCTTCAAGTAAAGCACCCAAAACATAGGTTTTTGACATGTTATGACCCGTCGGACCTATTAGGTCGGACGTCGGACGGACCTAATTACATGTTCATGTCAATAAGAGTTATAGTATGTAATTCGAGTTATATTATCACTGCACTGCCTCCTTTCTGTCAAGGGTAGTATAGATGATAGAGGTATGAGACAATTCCTGCCGACTATTCGGTTTTTTTGTAGAAATTTGAACGAGCGAACAACACCGTAATATTATTAAATATTAAATGCTATAAATACCGGGCGGCGAAAATTAGATATTATCACGGTCGCGGTGGAAAATATTGGCCTGCATTTCGCAGATTTTAATCTTGCAACGATTATCGTGCGTTAATCGCATGCGAGACGATTATCGTTTGCGGTGCACGATTATCGCGCTACTCGACAATAAACACGCGATAATCGCCAGATCGTCTTGTTATTATATCGCACGATTATTGTTATGTCGTAATGTTATTGCACGATAATTGTTATGTCGTACTGTTATCGCACGATAATCGAAAACACATGGCAATAATCCTTTTACTTTTAGTACAGGTAATGTGATATAATAAGTAATAACATGGTATGAATTCTAATCTCTTTACATTATGACGATGGTGCATGTGTAGTGCCAGTGGTTGTTCAAACTTTATGATGACAAGAATCTACTGACCATAAAATGGTTTAAATTGCATTGACACGCTAATTGGTTATGATCATAATATTAATAAATATCGTTATCATGGTTTACCCACACGAATTGGAGGACTTCGACGCTTCGACGCGCAAACTAGCATTTTTCATTCTTGCTTCGCATCGACAAGATCGTTACTCTGCTAGCTTCGCAGAGCAACGATCTGGTTACTGGGCCGCGCTCAGCCTGTCATTGCGCCGAATCTCTATTAATGAACATGATAGCGCGCCTGAGGTCCCCAGGTAAAATTATACCGTGCACGCGCGTACGTGACAAACAAGAGGCGCGCGGATCCGATAATATAATTATATAATTTCACAGTACACATGAAGGCGCATCTTATCAAACAGCTAAGACCAGGCGCCGTACGCAAAGTTGGTCTCAAATTTCCGCAACAAAAGGACTTCAGAAGGACTTTCGACAAATCTGTTCCAAATAAAAAGTTCGAAAATCGAGTGTTTTAGTGAATAACTTAGAATATATTTTTGATTTTCTCAAGATCTGATAAATAGATTTTCTTTAAACTTTCCAGATAGTTGTATGGCTAATGGCTATGGCTATAAGACGGATAATCTGAGCGAGTTTTTAGCGGAACACAGGCATTTATTTCGAGATCTGAATGATAGAATTTCTTTAACATTTGTTTAAGCTTTTCAGATAGTTACATGGCTATAAGACGGATAATCTGAGCGAGTTTGGGCGAATTTCTATGTGCCAAACTTGATATATGACTTCAAACACAAGAAAATATCTCAAATTGGCGCGTTCTAGCGGAACGCGCCAATTTGAGATATTTTTGACGATTATGTCCGAGCAGAGAAACACTTTACTAGTATGAAGGAGTTAGGGTTCAATGGGGCAGGTGTCCTCACACCCTCTCAAGTCCAGCAAGCCAACAACATGTTCAGACCATCCCTTTGCCAACTCAGAACAGCAACTAAGATTGCAGAAACGGGTGGGGATGAGATGTCGGCTATGCACTGTTTACAGATGGACGTACAAAAGAGCAGACTGGCTGCTGGTCCTCCACATCGAGCTAAATCTGATCATATTCTAGCCTATGAATCTCGATGCCGAGAGAAAGATCGACAAGATCACGCCAAAAATATTACGATTTTAATCTTACGGAAGAAGGGACTTGAGACCGCAGTGCGTATAGGTGAAGTTATCAGGACCAATCTGGAACTGACTATAACTGAGTCTCACAGCGTTCTGTGGCAATCTTTCTTCCTCACCACTTCCAGACTACTAACCAGTTCCCCTGTTGCGTCTTCTCTGGGTCTCCCATCCTGCCCACTACCCTTCCTGCTAGCTAACATGCTATCTCTAGCCCTGAGCGTTTCCCAGTTCACTCAATCAGCACGAGTACACCTGGGATGTTACAACGTGGAACAACACAGGCCCCTGCTGGTGGGAGATACTGTGAGGTCTGTGTGTACGATTCAGGGTGCCAGGCAGGTTACAGGACACGACGGAGCGGCGAGGTTCACTATTGCGGACTCCACTCACGAGCTGGTTAATCAGGATAATGTTAGGATTTTTAGTGTGGATAAGAAGTCTATGTTCCCTCCGTTGGCTATTGTTAATGAAACCAGAATATCTACACTAGGCGACGAGAACGTAAAACTGGCAACGTCATGGCGAGAAATGATCCTTGGTCATTTTTCAAGTCCAGGGAATCTACCTTTAAGTTCAACATCTCCAGTCTTTAATCCAGGTGAAGTTGTGCTCCACACGGATGTTAAAACATTTGGAAGAACTGAAACGAGCTCGATCTGCAACCTGTTCAAGGTGACGAACCCACATCACCACAATGTCACACGGTATTCCACCACGGAGATCCTGGTGCCAGGACCGGCTGTTATAGCTGCCATGGTCAGCAACTCTGAACTGGATTTAGGGATAGTCTTGTACGAAAACTACACCTGCCAGGAGAACATCAATAAGGTTAATCCGGGAGATATGATCTCTACCATCACCTATATCTGCTCTGTGGCACCTGTTCCGGGTGCTGAGTTCCTGGAGGAGCTGACTGTCAAACATCTGGGAGTTAAGAACACCGACTTGGAGTACCTTCTTGTTGCAGGTAAAAGTGAAGGTGGTATAACTAGAGATCTGTTCACCAGAACATCTATGAAACCTTCTGATTACGAGGATATTTGTGTAAATCAATGTCCACTGTTATTCCGCAAAATTGTGAGCAATGCTACCCGAAATATTATTCGTTTTAAATCAGCTGCACAGAATTAAATTTTAAATATACGATACGTTTGTCCCTTATCGAGGTACCAGTGGAATGTTAATAACGACAGCATTTGAGCATTTGAAATGGCGACACGCTTTTGTGGCGGCCTCGGGAAGATGTTAACATCAAATAACGTATAATTGATTTTGAAATATTGATTTGGAATTTCTTTTATACTTTTTTTCCGCAGAATGATTTATGTCAAATGGTATGCAAATTTACTCCTGCTATTTAACAACTAAGTACTCAAGCATGGGATAATTGCCTTCGTATATTTAAAAAGAATGATTAATTCAACCAATGTTATGACTACTTCAATTTTCCATGATTATTGCCGTTTCCTTTCAACAAGGAACCATTCCATTTTAGGATGGAATGGTACGGTAACGCGGCCATATGACCTACAAAGTCAGATATGTTTACGACCCCTCTAAAACTTCTTTACATTTTCTCCATGGTTAAACTCAACGTGAAATACAGAAGACATTTATAATTTGATATTTTTAGCCCAAGACAGACCTAAGTGGAGAAAGTTATTTTAGTTTTAGTAGGTTACTTATCAGATTTTTAATTTGTTTATACAATTTATTTATTTGAATAAAGTTTTATAATAATTTTAACAATATAATCAAAGCAGCCAAATAAAACATAATGTTTAATTTGAGGAACATATAATTGTATCTTATGTGCTCACAGCTATGTGGTAAAATATTTACAGATGCACAATGTTGCCCAAATACCTGATCCATATTCACTATTCAGCTTATGTTGGAATTATTAAATTCCTACATTATCTTGGAAAATTGCAATAATTAACCAACACGAACCATATTGAAAAGACAGCTTGATTAAAATACTGATTCGGTCTCTATTATTTATTCATTCACCGACAAAATTACGCAAATGTTTAAGTTGTAAATGTTTCAACCAAGAAATATATGACACATTTTCGTAGATGTAATTGTATACTAATTGTAACGTGCACTTAACATGTTAAGAAATTTTAAATGATATGTACTTTTATCATTTTTAATCCTTAACTAAATTGATGAAATAAAAATTAGACATAAAAATCACTCGTACTTAAACTTTAAGAAACATTCAAAATAACAGATACCATAAATCATTTAAGCTGAGTTGTATAATGAATACAGAATAGTGAGCCTAGCTTTTTTGAACTAAGATAGGAAAATGTTCAAGGTTATCAATTAAATAAAACAAAAGAACCATCTGTTGAATAAATTAATGTGACTTATGTATACATGTATTAAACTTTAAACAGATTTTCTTGGATCCTTATAACCATTACATGCACAACTGAATCAAACTGTATTATAATCAAATAGTACTCCAATATCAGAGCATCAAGCAAACATAACATGAGAAGATTGAAGATATTTTCGTAAAAAGTGGTCACGTGCCACAGATGGGCTTGACGTATGAAATAAAAACCCTGCGAATGGCGATAAAACGAGAAATTTAACAACTGTTAAAATCTCCTCCGAGCTAATAATCTTACGCCAGTTTCCAGTAAGCTGGAATTCCTCTTTAGTTCCATAAAACGGCAACTCCTTCAGAAAAACAGAAGGTTTAAGATAAACTCAGCGGTGGTAACTGTAGATAGTATAGTACCGTGTAGCGATGTGTTATAAGCTAGTTAAATGTGAGGTACACTGATACAGTTCCTGAGGAAGCAAGATACAAGACCGGCCTGATATTTTCCAAGTGTACGGTTTATACCCTCAGTCAAAGGGATCATGGGATCTGGCATCCCCTCGGCTAGCAACAGGAAGAAAGGTTTGTTGTATCTGGTGAACTCTTGTACTAGTTCGTGCACCTTGAGAGTGGAAAATTAGTTAAAGTCAGTTAGAAAGTTGTTAGACACGAGAAGAAAATGTAAATCAATGCTGTTTCCTGCCAAACCTCAATTTGCCGTGTCCCATGACAGTTCAATTATACAAACAGCAGATATCAGTTTCACGAGCTAATATTAAAACAAGTCTACTTCTAATCCCCTTTATCCCCCGCCCCCTAACAGTTCCTACCTGAGCTCTGGTGATGCCCCCTTTACCCCCCTCCCCCGCCCTCACTTTAGCAACTCCTACCTGAGCTCTGGTGATGCCCCCTTTACCCCCTCCCCCGCCCTCACTTTAGCAACTCCTACCTGAGCTCTGGTGAATGTGGTGATGCCCCCTTTACCCCCCTCCCCCGCCCTCACTTTAGCAACTCCTACCTGAGCTCTGGTGATGCCCCCTTTACCCCCTCCCCCCGCCCTCACTTTTGTAACTCCTACCTGAGCTCTGGTGATGCCCCCTTTACCCCCCTCCCCCGCCCTCACTTTAGCAACTCCTACCTGAGCTCTGGTGATGCCCCCTTTACCCCCTCCCCCGCCCTCACTTTAGCAACTCCTACCTGAGCTCTGGTGATGCCCACTTTACCCCCTCCCCCCCCCTCACTTTAGCAACTCCTACCTGAGCTCTGGTGATGCCCCCTTTACCCCCTCCCCCGCCCTCACATTTGTAACTCCTACCTGAGCTCTGGTGATGCCCCCTTTACCCCCTCCCCCGCCCTCACTTTTGTAACTCCTACCTGAGCTCTGGTGATGCCCCCTTTACCCCCTCCCCCGCCCTCACATTTGTAACTCCTACCTGAGCTCTGGTGATGCCCCCTTTACCCCCTCCCCCGCCCTCACTTTAGCAACTCCTACCTGAGCTCTGGTGAATGTGGTGATGCCCCCTTTACCCCCCTCCCCCGCCCTCACTTTAGCAACTCCTACCTGAGCTCTGGTGATGCCCCCTTTACCCCCTCCCCCGCCCTCACTTTTGTAACTCCTACCTGAGCTCTGGTGATGCCCCCTTTACCCCCCTCCCCCGCCCTCACTTTAGCAACTCCTACCTGAGCTCTGGTGATGCCCCCTTTACCCCCTCCCCCGCCCTCACTTTAGCAACTCCTACCTGAGCTCTGGTGATGCCCACTTTACCCCCTCCCCCCCCCTCACTTTAGCAACTCCTACCTGAGCTCTGGTGATGCCCCCTTTACCCCCTCCCCCGCCCTCACATTTGTAACTCCTACCTGAGCTCTGGTGATGCCCCCTTTACCCCCTCCCCCGCCCTCACTTTTGTAACTCCTACCTGAGCTCTGGTGATGCCCCCTTTACCCCCCTCCCCCGCCCTCACATTTGTAACTCCTACCTGAGCTCTGGTGATGCCCCCTTTACACCCTCCCCCGCCCTCACATTTGTAACTCCTACCTGAGCTCTGGTGATGCCCCCTTTACCCCCTCCCCCGCCCTCACATTTGTAACTCCTACCTGAGCTCTGGTGATGCCCCCTTTACCCCCTCCCCAGCCCTCACTTTAGCAACTCCTACCTGAGCTCTGGTGATGCCCTCTTTACCCCCTCCCCCGCCCTCACATTTGTAACTCCTACCTGAGCTCTGGTGATGCCCTCTTTACCCCCTCCCCCGCCCTCACATTTGTAACTCCTACCTGAGCTCAGGTGATGCCCCCTTTACCCCCCTCCCCCGCCCTCACTTTAGCAACTCCTACCTGAGCTCTGGTGATGCCCCCTTTACCCCCTCCCCCGCCCTCCACTTTAGCAACTCCTACCTGAGCTCTGGTGATGCCCCCTTTACCCCCTCCCCCCGCCCCTCACATTTGTAACTCCTACCTGAGCTCTGGTGAAGCCCCCTTTACCCCCCTCCCCCGCCCTCACTTTTGTAACTCCTACCTGAGCTCTGGTGATGCCCCCTTTACCCCCTCCCCCGCCCTCACTTTAGTAACTCCTACCTGAGCTCTGGTGAAGCCCCCTTTACCCCCCTCCCCCGCCTCACTTTTGTAACTCCTACCTGAGCTCTGGTGATGCCCCCTTCCCCCCTCCCCCGCCCTCACTTTAGCAACTCCTACCTGAGCTTTACCCCCTCCCCCGCCCTCACTTTTGTAACTCCTACCTGAGCTCTGGTGATGCCCCCTTTACCCCCTCCCCCGCCCTCACTTTAGCAACTCCTACCTGAGCTCTGGTGATGTCCCTTACCCCCCTCCCCCGCCCTCACTTTAGCAACTCCTACCTGAGCTCTGGTGATGTCCCTTTACCCCCTCCCCCGCCCTCACTTTAGCAACTCCTACCTGAGCTCTGGTGATGTCCCTTTACCCCCTCCCCCGCCCTCACTTTAGCAACTCCTACCTGAGCTCTGGTGATGCCCCCTTTACCCCCTCCCCGCCCTCACTTTAGCAACTCCTACCTGAGCTCTGGTGATGCCCCTTTACCCTCCCCCGCCCTCACTTTAGCAACTCCTACCTGAGCTCTGGTGATGCCCCCTTTACCCCCTCCCCCGCCCTCACTTTTGTAACTCCTACCTGAGCTCTGGTGATGCCCCCTTTACCCCCTCCCCCGCCCTCACTTTAGCAACTCCTACCTGAGCTCTGGTGATGCCGAGAGTAGCAGGACAGCTGACAGTGGTGAGATCCTCAGTAACATCTAGATCTACACATAAACCTGGCACCTGATCAGTTATTACAGTTAACAATCAAGTTATTGTCCAAAATGGGGCATAGTACCTACCTATGTCGCATAGGTACTTAGGTAGGTACTGGTGTATCACAGCCTCAGAATTGTAATTCAATATATTGGTAAAAACTTGAAAACTGTACATAATTTATTAAAGCACATGTTAAGTAGATATAATATAAGTAATTATATAGCACATGTTACCTCATCGTTTTCAGCGTCTAACGCTTTGATCATTTCCAGTAAACTTTCGTGTAAAGAGGGCCTGTTAGGGGCTCCTATCACTGATATGTCATCCAAATACCTGAAACACAAGGATATGTTTTATATTTCCAGATATCAGAAACACAAGAATAGCATCGTAATCGAAAAGTTGTAATACAAGGCAAAAGTGTGTGTCCATATCATTACACCCTAGGAAATTGTAACATTGTTGGTGTAAAACGTGTTCAGCGCGTGAACAGCGCTAGCAGTGAAATTCACAAATTTAATAATTTCTTTGACCGCCTAAAACATGTGCATAATATCTAGGTGGAATGGAATTATTGATGTAAAATCATGCAGCTGCATCTAATTTATATTGATTTAACCTAACTGGAAGTTTTGGAATCGATAATCATTCCTCATAATGATGATAACCATGACAATTATGTTACGGATTAGCATTTATTATGTGACGGTGTCTTGTGTAAAAGTGTGTAATTTAGCACATTATTCCTTGCCGTCCATTCCTCATCATATCCGTCTATATTTAATTGCAGTTTTAGTAACTAGTTGGAGGTATTGTTACTGTTATTATAATATATTGTAACATAGACGTGGTTATTCACATTTTACACTTGTAGAATATTTAAACTGGTCCACCATGTGAAACGTAGGTACAGACTACAGTTTGGTAGTTTTGGTGTTATAGAGCTGCACGTGTTATAGAGCTGCACGTGTTATATAGCTGCACGTGTTATAGAGCTGCACGTGTTATAGAGCTGTCGCCACGTATGTCTAGGTTCGTTATTGTTTTGGTAGTTAGTAATGCAAGCCAACATTGTTAGTTAAATACGTATTGGTGCCAGTGAGGCCACTTTCCAACCGATATCATGTAACATGTTTAGCCAATAATACAGACAAAAGATAGACAATAAGATATTCGTTATAATGTTTCAATGTTTAAAAACAAGTCATTAGTATTATAACAGATAAAAGAGACTACAACATGTACATTGTAGAACTACAGATTTGATAAGTAGCTATTGGAACGAGTAGTTGTATTATGCAACAATAACCGTGATATAAAGGAATCTCTCAAACTTATCTTCTAGCTGTTATAGTGTTATCATACATATCTAAAATAGTTGGAAACACACATAACAGGCACATAACAGGCACTTAAGGGGGCCGGGGGGGGGGGGTCTACATCGAAATTCTCTCGAAATTGATGTTATAGTTGTTTCTAATAATAGAGGGAAGTGATATCTATCAGCTGCTTTTGGTCCCATGGAAAAATATTGTTATTTATATAGCTGATAGATATCACTTCCCTCTATCAGAAACAACTATAAAATTAATTTCGAGAGAATTTCGATGAAGACCCCCCGGCCCCCATAACACACATAACAGGCATTCAAGCAGGGGTCGACCGAGGGCAGGATTTTCGACCGAGGCCGAGGAAAATACAGTTAGTTAAGACCGAGGCCGAGGACAACCGAGGTTTCTTTTTTTTGACCGAGGCCGAGGCCGAGGAGTGCAAATTTTGACCGAGGCCGAGGAATTTTGGCAGAAAAATTGTTGGGAAAAAGGGCATTGTTTATTAGGAAAAGCGCACTGTACCTAATCAGATTGTACTGTGTACTATACTGTGTACACACGTTACAATCATTATGAAGGGGCAAGTTCGCCAAGAGTCAGGAGTGGGCATGCCCAGGCAGGATCTGAGTAATTGACAGTGAAATTTGAAATATTCTATCAGAAGCGTGGTCAGCGAGCTCAGCAGCACCAGAGAGATTGTTTTCTACAGCAGGGCACATCCTGAAGTTAAATCGCCTCAGCCTTAAGCCAACAAACTTTGAGGGGTGCTTGTTTCTCAAAAAGAACATCGGAACATTTGGGGACGACTTCGGCCCCTGTCCAAATGAATTTGAAGCCCCAAATAAAGAGGACTGTCCCCCTTCTGAGCTGTGCACAGAAGATTATTCTGATTCAGAGTGCTCAGATATTGTCATTTCATCAGACGATGAATCTTAGACTATGATATTTTTAGTTTTGTGTCCTGGTCAATTGGTCGTTTTATTTTCAATTTTACAAATTCGTTTACAATTACATTAACCTCTGTAAGTCTGTAGAAAAATTCCCAAAATTTCAACAAAAATCCTCGGTCAAATCCTCGGTAAAATCGTCAAATTTCGCCGAGGAATTTCGAATCTATTTTTGACCGAGGCCGAGGCGAACCGAGGAATTGTCCTCCTGACCGAGGCCGAGGAAAAATCGCCATTCCTCGGTAAAACCGAGGCCGAGGAGTGCAAATTTTGACCGAGGCCGAGGAATTTTGGCAGAAAAATTGTTGGGAAAAAGGGCATTGTTTATTAGGAAAAGCGCACTGTACCTAATCAGATTGTACTGTGTACTATACTGTGTACACACGTTACAATCATTATGAAGGGGCAAGTTCGCCAAGAGTCAGGAGTGGGCATGCCCAGGCAGGATCTGAGTAATTGACAGTGAAATTTGAAATATTCTATCAGAAGCGTGGTCAGCGAGCTCAGCAGCACCAGAGAGATTGTTTTCTACAGCAGGGCACATCCTGAAGTTAAATCGCCTCAGCCTTAAGCCAACAAACTTTGAGGGGTGCTTGTTTCTCAAAAAGAACATCGGAACATTTGGGGACGACTTCGGCCCCTGTCCAAATGAATTTGAAGCCCCAAATAAAGAGGACTGTCCCCCTTCTGAGCTGTGCACAGAAGATTATTCTGATTCAGAGTGCTCAGATATTGTCATTTCATCAGACGATGAATCTTAGACTATGATATTTTTAGTTTTGTGTCCTGGTCAATTGGTCGTTTTATTTTCAATTTTACAAATTCGTTTACAATTACATTAACCTCTGTAAGTCTGTAGAAAAATTCCCAAAATTTCAACAAAAATCCTCGGTCAAATCCTCGGTAAAATCGTCAAATTTCGCCGAGGAATTTCGAATCTATTTTTGACCGAGGCCGAGGCGAACCGAGGAATTGTCCTCCTGACCGAGGCCGAGGAAAAATCGCCATTCCTCGGTAAAACCGAGGCCGAGGACTCGGTCGACCCTTGCATTCAAGGATATTAATCTCAAGATAAAGTACTATCTGATCTCAGGTAATACTCTGTAAAGACTAACCTGTACCAACAGTTTGTACTTATTAGTTGTTCCATCATGGATTCCCTGTTTTCGTAGGGAGATAAACCTAGAACTGCGTATTTCTGGAGAATAAAAGGAGGTTTAAATCAAATATTTGAGATGTCTGAGATATCACTGATATAGCTATTACAAGAGCTGTAGTTAATATAAGGGCTAATTTACACACTCAACCAAAGCTAAAGGTTAATTTTGTTACTCAATGTTAAAATTGAAAGACAATCCTATGGAAGCAAGAGTTGCATGTAACCCCAAAAAACTAGCATACATTTCAAGAAATCATTTAAGAGATTTCCATAACTACAACTTTGTAATCATCCACACTTGCTGTTAATTGAAGAACAGCTTTACGAATTTCAAGGATCATTTCAATAGTCTGAAATTTAACCAAAAGGTAAAGTAAAAGGTACCTTAAGAATACCGATGGTGTTAAGAAAAGAAAACCCGTTCCCGGAATGCGCGCCTCTCTCCTCCAAGTTTTTGTAATCCCCGTGACAATCGAAGTTGCCTAGTGTGAGATTGGATGGGGTACCCCGTGCTATCGTGCGACCTAAATGTACACCGTACCTGGGGGAGAGTCAAGTTACTGCAAGATGAAATTGGAGAAGTTTTCATTTTTAAATTTCATTGTGAGGCTAACAAGAAATGCGGCCGCTTTTTTTTGTGCATGGCCGCTCAATTTCCCGATCCGTGATGGCGTATTTTATCATTTTCTATACAACCTGGGGACCCCAGTTTTTACTGTTTATAAGTATGCAGATATGGCGAAGTGACAGGCCGAGCGCCACCAAGTTAATATAATTCCATATTGAATTTGAAAATCGTGTATATTTTTAAAATCATATGCTTATTGTTTATGCAACCTGACACCCGACACGGATGTGTGCAAAATAGTATAAGTAACTCAAAATAATAATAGTATGCTATCAATTAGTGCCTAGTGGGATATGTACATGGTGAAATTAACAATGTACTTGGTCAGTTCAGCGCCGCGCGCCAACAATTAGCTAATTCGGATTATTCCGCAAAATAACTTTGCGCAGGTAGTCACGTGGGCGATTACAGTGTGTGCAGGCAGGTACGGTCGCTCGCACGCTCGCAGGTACGGTCGCAAAGCTACCATATACAAAAAAAAAACCTCGTTCGCTAACCCTTGTCCTTGACTCTTTTGTGCCTTCGGCACTTTGAGTCATGGATCGGGAAAAAATTTAGGAATGTAAAAGTAAAAGTTTAGGAATGTTTTCAGTATAATGATCAGAATGGAAACATATCTTCATTGGTAAAAACTGGAGTGGTTCCTGCATGTTTTGTTCCGCGGAAACTCATCTACATTCAATTTGTGTAGTTGAGTAGAAGTACGTAATCATAACAAAACGTCTGAAGTGATGAGACACGACGACTATCTTCAATGGAACATGGCAGTTCTACATCACGGAATGTACAGATCAGCAGATGAGTTTTGAATAATATGTCAATTCTTCTCAAAGTTTTGTCAAAAAACACGATACCACATTACGAGGAAACTGTGTATTTGTGTATGTAATTCAACTAACTTTTATGAAAATTTTGTTAAAAATAAAAGGGATCGAAATTAGTGCGCTTCCTTCTGATCTAGCAGAAAAAAACCTGAATTAATATAATATCTCACCCTAAACCGAGGATGTCCTCGTTACCCCCCGATATACAGATAGGTCGGAGAGAACAGCGGGCGATGCACCTCACAATATTAGCCAGCCTCCTCTGACATCTGATACTGGCTTCTTCCACCATCCGGTCATACACCTGAGGAAAGGACTGGGTCAGCTGGGAACTAAGCTACATAACAGCTGGGAACTAAGCTACATAACCGCTGGGAACTAAGCTACATAACAGAACAAAACGCCAGAGTTAACTTATTCTTTATCACTGGGTGGGGGGAGGCAGGGGATATCACGTCCTGCTCGTACCTGTAACGCTTACTCCATCACACCGACTATAATTGGCACAGTATCAAGGTTCTACCGCTATAGATCAATAAAGCACATTTTAAGTGGAAAGCTGTAAAACGATAGGTACACCACCACTCAACAGTCACAGTATCATGAATATCATTACCTCGCTCTTTATCTTGAACTACCCTCGAACTTATAAAATGAAGAGTGAACCTCTATCAAGCACAGTGTATACTCTGATATGAACCATTGAGACTTACGTATCAATTACGTTAACATTAATTACCTCCGTATCAATTAAACATGAATTATAGCACCCTCTAAAGTCCAACTTGATCTGACAATCTTGATTCTTGCCCAATCTGGTTAGACTTCTTTGATGAAACAGTTCAAATGATAAGCGTCTCTTAGTCTTTGAAATTACCCACCGCGACAAATTATATAATACGTTTAAGGGGACATATACAGAAAGCTTTTTAAATGTCCTGACCATGCTGTTAACTTCATATTAAGAAAGTATACATCAAATAATTTTTACAGAATTGTAATCAGCTTGATAAGACGAATCTTTTAGTACCAAATAGGTGATTTTAGAAGACAAATTGTCTTAAATAATTTTCTAGCTCGAACACAAATTTTGTATAAATTTTTAAACAAATTTTGTGTCTTTAACTACTATAAATTTGGTACTAAAAGATTCGTTTTACCAAGCTGATCACGAATCTGTAAAAAGTATTTCAAAAAGACTGATACTTTTTGAGTTAGAGGCATTTTACGCCTTAAATCTGCCATTGTTGGGCCTTTTTTACGATGAATTTTACTAAGTCGTTTGAGGCCAGATTTGATACCTTAAAACTCAAAATTGAGAGAAATCCTGTTCCAAAAAGTTGGATATGATTATCAGCTACACTCACAAGAATTTTTGAAGCGATATCTTATGACCTGGGTGATTGGTAAAATATACAACTTTGATTTTTTGCAAAAATTTCAATTTTGCTTTTCTCGACCTTGTTTGGTCTGTAACTTCGTCATTTATTGTTTAATTATAAAATCCTTTTAAGGGCTTTTTGTACGGATTGTAAATAATGTTCAGTAAAAATATCAGCCAAAAAACGTATAAAATAATTGAAAGATCGGTATAAAAAAACAAAATATTTATTTTTTCGAAAGTGAGTAGTAGTACCATCAAATATAATTTTTAATGTATCAAATCTTATTGTTTTGATGTATACTTTCTTAATATGAAGTTAACAGCATGGTCAGGACATAAAAGCTTTTTGTATATTATGTCCCCTTAACGATCTGAGTACATATAATATATTATATGCGTAGTGTCAGTAACACTGTTACTGATCATACCCAACCATGAATGTCAATTACATTGTTACTGATAAAAACCATGCATATCAATTGCATAACATTACTGATACTCATTAGGCCTAAGGCATGTCAAGTTTACGATAAATATGTTACATTTTACAAGACGTAAGAACTAAGAAACTACCACAGCAGGTGGTCACATGTAGGTATCTAATCTAGGTAAACTATAGGTAAAAATATAATATTAATCATAAGCTAAAATGTACTAATCTTTGTATTCTAAATGGGGAAAAGAAGAAACATTGTCAGTCAGTCGAGAAAATTGTCAGTCAGGCTATATGGCAGCTTTCTAGATGTTGTGACTATGCTAGTAGTGGTCCCAGGCTTGCGACTGGAATTGCGGTGTTAAATCGATTTAATGGTATACCAACGATCCACCTCCCACTTGTTGTTTGGTACTTAGCATTAATAGTGTTAGCTGTAGCCATTTATAGCAAGAATCTTAAAACTAAAGGGGATGACAAGGAAAAGAGGAAGGAAAAAGAATAACGGAACAAACGAAACAAACGGAACATAGTTACATCTAACAGTATTAGCAATGTTACAGGGACAGTCATGAAATGACAAAGAGGAACACCACGACAAAACCTGGGAGTAGCAGGCTAAGTCTCCTGATAGTTTTACTCGACTTATAATATATATTTATATATTACCAAGCGAGCAGTAAAACATCCGTGTCAATAGACTATCAAAATGTTAAATATGTTTAGAATCTAGTTACCTTATTATCACCGTATTTAATGTTAGTTTGCTCGATTCCCTCAGCTTGTGCCATATCATCGAGCTGCTTGGTGATGTCGTCATACTGCACCTGAAACACAAGAAAATAGGGTGACCCAGGATAATACTGCTGTTTCTATAACCATGGTTACCATGGTTACCATCTACATGTTTACATATTTTATTAACATACTCTGAATAAGCATGCATCCCATTAAAAAGGGGAAAATAACGGTTAATAAGATTGACAGTATACATATTATCTAACTGTACTTTACTATTATGTGGTAAGCAGTCGTTGTAAAACAAAACTCACCTCGCCCAGTAAAAGTGTCTGCTCGAAGAAGTTCCTCTGACCGGGTCCAACAGGACTGCCTACAAACTGTTGAGCAAAACACTTGTAGTTCAAACCGTGACCTCGGCGCCCTCCGTTTAACCATTTACCTACGTAGTTTTCTGAACCTGCCATAATTTAAGTGTAACTGTTTTGTCTGATATCATCAGACGTCATGTTATCATGATTGTGACGCCTGCTAGACAAAATGATTATCTCTAAAATGACAGGTACACAAATTACAGGTAAGCAGGTATTTTACGGATCTAGAGTACATTGCGGTCAGTAAATGTTTTACTTTTTAACAGTGACGAGGATTGAACACCTCAAATAAAATTCATAGATTCATAAGTGGTATTTTTGTCAGTTTGGGATAAATGGCAAACCAAAGGCTAGGTACATGCTTATATAAATGCAATACTAATAATATTATTTTTAATTAGATAGGAACTTATGTACGTTGAAAATGTTAATAACCTATAACGACGAATCTGATGCCGGGACCCTGCAGCTGCGCTTTCTCCAGACATTTGACGAAAGTTTCATTTTCTTTGTCAGTGGGAAGATCACAGTCAAAGAGCGTCTTGATGTGATCCCCAGCTGAGGTCTGACCATTGCGAACTGGAACTCTGAGGAATAGCACGTGTTAAATAAAGAGGTACTTTGGGGAATATAAATAGTACAATTAATAAAGTAAGGTTCGTAAATATTCCCAGAGCCAATTTCGCACTGATCAGTTTACAGCAGTTAGCGATAAACTTAAAGTGACGCAAGGGTACTTTCCCGTTTAAATTTAACGCAATCTATCAGCAGTACTACGCTGGCTCCTGATCCAGGACCGGTGAAGCCTCATGAGATTTAGAGCTGGATTACAGAGCAAACTGTAACCTGTTTACTGCAAAACCGAGCCATGCATAAATTCAGCAGCTGTGTGCAGTTAAGAAGTTGTAACTTCTCTAAACGTCATCCGGAGTACCCCAATATCTGGACATCATTTAGTTTGCCGACTGCAGGGTTCCAGGTATAATCCGTGTCAATTATCTGATTACAGTAATTACCACTATAATTAGGGTGGTTAGACTGGACACGAGAGAGAGAGAGAGGGGGTGTTGGGTACGAGGTGTTAAAAGGCGCATCTTAGTTCACAACAGCTGTGTTACTGCTGGTTACTGCTGGTAACTGCTGTGTGACTGCTGTGTGACTGCTGGTTACAGCTGTGTTACTGCTGGTAACTGCTGTGTGACTGCTGGTTACAGCTGTGTGACTGCTAGTTACTGCTGTGTGACTGCTGGTTACAGCTGTGTGACTGCTGGTTACTGCTGTGTGACTGCTGGTAACTGCTCCAATTTGCACGGCCTTCAATACACGTGTGTTATGAGCTAAGTGTTCGCTGCTAAAACCAACTAAGGTGTTATGATATAATTATAACTATAATAAGAACTGCACCTTTAGAATTTAGATACGGATTTCAAAGTCTGCAGAAATTTCTTGACCTCAACCCTTGATACAGATTATAATATACGCTGGAACTTATGCAGTCCACAGTTCATAACATATATTTTCTTAGTAGAGTCTGACCACAATAACAGATGTCCAGTTCCTGAAGTATGGCACAGCACATGAAGACGGAGCCTGACAAACAGTTACACTCTCACAAAGTGTTCTGTAGTGTGGTTAACAAACTGACTTCCATCATGTTTACTTCTCATTCTAATAATGACTGGTGTGATATTTATTGTAAAACATACTACTGTACTGCACAATCTTCAGCATATTGGAACTATTTAGTCACTGTATTTTAGGCTAAATAAGGCAAAAATATCCCCAGTTTTAACCGGAAAACGCATGGTGTTTCATGATGTGATCCTAGCAACTTAACCGCCAGTTGTTTATGTGGAAATGTAACCAGTTTTAATACGTGTTACAGTGCTTTTACCACTATATTTTAGCACTTGTGAGACTCATGACTGTAGTTTTTTGTTCAGAAGTTGTTCTTCACAGATCATCGAGTTTTACTGTGCTAGTATTGGGTTACCTTAATAAACTTATCAAAACCTTAGCGAGCAAGCGCAGTGCATAGAGGCGTACTACCTATATAATAACAGTGCATAGTGGCGTACTACCTATATAATAACAGCACATAGTGGGCAGTGGCGTACTACCTATATAATAACAGTGCATAGTGGGTAGTGGCGTACTACCTATATAATAACAGCACATAGTGGGCAGTGGCGTACTACCTATATAATAACAGCACATAGTGGGCAGTGGCGTACTACCTATATATAATAACAGCACATAGTGGGTAGTGGCGTACTACCTATATATAATAACAGCACATAGTGGGTAGTGGCGTACTACCTATATAATAACAGCACATAGTGAGCAGTGGCGTACTACCTATATATAATAACAGCACATAGTGGGTAGTGGCGTACTACCTATATAATAACAGCACACAGTGGGTAGTGGCGTACTACCTATATAATAACAGCACATAGTGGGTAGTGGCGTACTACCTATATAATAACAGCTCACATAGTGGGCAGTGGCGTACTACCTATATAATAACAGCACATAGTGGGCAGTGGCGTACTACCTATATAATAACAGCACATAGTGGGCAGTGGCGTACTACCTATATAATAACAGTACATAGTGGGCAGTGGCGTACTACCTATATAATAACAGCACATAGTGGGTAGTGGCGTACTACCTATATAATAACAGCACATAGTGGGCAGTGGCGTACTACCTATATAATAACAGCACATAGTGGGCAGTGGCGTACTACCTATATAATAACAGTACATAGTGGGCAGTGGCGTACTACCTATATAATAACAGCACATAGTGGGTAGTGGCGTACTACCTATATAATAATAGCACATAGTGGGTAGTGGCATACTACCTATATAATAACAGCACATAGTGGGCAGTGGCGTACTACCTATATAATAACAGCACATAGTGGGTAGTGGCGTACTACCTATATAATAACAGTACATAGTGGGTAGTGGCGTACTACCTATATAATAACAGCACATAGTGGGCAGTGGCGTACTACCTATATAATAACAGCACACAGTGGGTAGTGGCGTACTACCTATATAATAACAGCTCACATAGTGGGCAGTGGCGTACTACCTATATAATAACAGCACATAGTGGGCAGTGGCGTACTACCTATATAATAACAGCACATAGTGGGCAGTGGCGTACTACCTATATAATAACAGCACATAGTGGGCAGTGGCGTACTACCTATATATAATAACAGCACATAGTGGGTAGTGGCGTACTACCTATATATAATAACAGCACATAGTGGGTAGTGGCGTACTACCTATATAATAACAGCACATAGTGAGCAGTGGCGTACTACCTATATATAATAACAGCACATAGTGGGTAGTGGCGTACTACCTATATAATAACAGCACATAGTGGGCAGTGGCGTACTACCTATATAATAACAGTACATAGTGGGCAGTGGCGCACTACCTATATAATAACAGCACATAGTGGGCAGTGGCGTACTACCTATATAATAACAGCACATAGTGGGCAGTGGCGTACTACCTATATAATAACAGTGCATAGTGGGTAGTGGCGTACTACCTATATAATAACAGCACATAGTGGGTAGTGGCATACTACCTATATAATAACAGTACATAGTGGGCAGTGGCATACTACCTACCTATGTGACCTATGTGACCTATGTTGAGTTTCGTCAAGACTTGACGGGGCCATCACATCTTCTGACCACCCCATAGCGAAGTAGAGTCTCGCTCGTTGCGCCAGCACAGCAGAGAGTTCGTATTTGGAGGAGTATATCCCCTGATCGGCGGCTTATCAGGGAGAGACAACATGAACTTTGTGAGCTTATCTTTGAAGTGCTCTAGATCTTGAATGACATTCAGATGGTAGGGGATTGCATTCCACAATTTAGGTCCCTGAACTGCAAATGAGTTGTCAAACAAGGTGAGGTTTGCTGTTGAACTGGTTCTACGTTTTGATGGAATTACTGCAAGGTTTCCAAGCCTTGGGCGTGAAACAAATAGAACGTTCAGATCATTGCTGGTCTTTCCGTGGAGGATTTTCCACATATGGAGAATGATGAATCGCTCCCGCCTTCGTCGAAGAGACATCAGAGATAGATAGACCAGGCGATCCCAGTAGTGGAGATCGCGCATTCCTGATATTCTGGCGGTGAATGCTTTCTGTACACTCTCCAGTTCTTGGATATCGCTGATTTTTGAGGGATGCCATAATGGACAGCAATATTCAATCAGACTTCGAACCATTGATTTGTATAGCGTCAGCATGATGGAGTGAGATCGTGTGTGAAATACACTGAGAACCCATGATGCTTTTTGGCGAGCTTTATCTGCAATGGCTCGTATGTGAGGGGACCAAGAGAGATCACTTGACACTATGACGCCTAAATCCCTGAGCTGATGTATTGGCTCAAGTATAGTGTCTTTGGAAACTGAGTATTGATAGTGTTCAACCACAAATGGAAGTTCAGATAGTACATATTGGTGGTTGAATTTATGACACATGTACTCAAATTTGTCTTTGTGAAGGGCCATATTATTTCTTTCAGACCAGTCAATGACATTTTGCAGATCTTCTTGGAGGAGCTTGACGTCATGCTCCGATTTGATAGCAATGGATATGCGAGTGTCATCAGCAAAACATCGAATTATAGAGTGCATGATACAATGTTCGATATCATTGATAAAAATCAAGAAAAGGATCGGCCCCAAAACAGTACCTTGTGGAACTCCGCTGATTATCAGTGCAAGGATGGACAGATGACCGTCAACAACAACTGCTTGTTTCCGGTCTGAGAGGAAAGATTCTATCCACTTTATGATTTTAGGATGGATTCCATAGAGTTGGAGCTTTCTCAGTAGGAGTTTGTGATCGACTTTATCGAAAGCCTTGGCATAGTCGAGGTATATTGAATCAAAATCTGAATTGTTGCTCAGAGAATCCAAAACGTCATCAAAATGGTGGAGAAGTTGAGTAAGGCAACTCCGGCCAAATCTAAATCCGTGCTGCTTACTACAGATGAGGTTATTGATCTCCAAATAGTTTACCAGCTTTTTTCTTATCACCCTCTCGTATACTTTAACCACATGAGAGGTGAGTGATATAGGTCGGTAGTTAGCTGGTTTGGCTCGACTATCCTTCTTGTGGAGAGGAAATACGTGTGAGAACTTATAGAAACTAGGGACCTCCCCAGTAACTAAAGAGCGGGACCAGATGATGTGCATTGGTTCTGCTGGGGGGGGGGGGGGTCCAACTACAAAAAATACGAATACGAATTTCAAATTTTAGGGGTGCGTTCGTATTTTTTCGTATTTTTTCGTATTTTTTACCAAACTTTTTTACTCTAGAAATAACGAAATTTCCCAGAGAAATGGATCTATAAATCCATTGGTATTCTCCGTTGTATCTTTGTATATTACACTGTATGACATCAGAGAAGATAAATAAGACGCAGCAAAACTGGTGAACAAATGAAAATACAATACTACGATTACCTACTAATTAATAATTGGAGTTTAGCTGCTTGTCAATCTCACGTAAGCGTAAATGTCAAAATCACTGGGAT